CGTCATTTTTCGCGTGCTGCTAATTTCAACCACTCTAATTATTAACGTTCACATGAAATGTAAAAAAGTAAATCAAGCCGCCGTTGTTTGCTCCTGATCTTTTTATTCCCCGTCATTGTATCGTTCAACCAAATCGTAAATCATTATACGATAGATCCGATTGAAAAGTCGGCCCAAGTCGCTCTTCCTTTTACGATTTAGCCTTAAGGCTGTGTATGTAAATTTCTTTTATTTGTGCTTCTCTAATTTGTCGATCCGACGTCCCACGCGTCGCGGGCAAAATGTAACGGAGAAATTGTCGTGCGGCAATCCACCCACGTCGCGATCGATCCACGATGTTTTTCATCTCGGCATAGAGAATACGCGTCAAACAATGACAATGGTGTGTCATCGATCTAGTATAATTCAAAGCCTGGCGCGTTTAGAAAATTAATTGCCTCGATTATTCACAGCTCGTTGATCATCTCGCATCCTTCAATGGCATTATTTCTCTCTCCGAGTGCTTTTTCGCAAGTTTTATCCTAAGAAAAGCGGTAAAAAAGCAGGAGAATTATCTTATCAATTATGTTACCGATATGCCATTTTGATTGTAACAAGATATGAGCGTAAAGCGAATTATCGAAAATCAAAAGATTCCCGCGACCGCGTATGTACGATTGCGACCGCAATATTCGAACCGCAAAGGTTTAACATCGGCTTCTCCGTTATATTACGTCTCTCTGTACAGGCGCATGTTTGTGGCAACGCTTGTCCGTCGGGGAACACGCTTTGGTTGGACGCAATCTCGCGTGTTACGAGTTTCTTAAAATAGCAGCTCGATGCTCCCTCGAATCTTCACGAATGCGCTTCAGCACGTGCGGTACACGCACTGAGCCGTCATCTCAACGCACGTGACTAATCTGCGAAAATTTTCTCGTCCTAAAGAATTGATTTTCTTTTCTCGCAATACTATAGTCATATACAAAATAAAAACGTCACGATAAAGAAGTAGTTGTATGCAACAGATTTAATATATAAAACTTAAATGTAAAACAATAGAATTTAAAGAAATATCTCTAGAATGTCTATTAAAAAAGATTAAATAAATTTTTCTAATTTATATAAATTACAATTTTGTGTTTCGCAGTAAGATTAGACTGAGAATCACTTGACTAACACATTTGCCGAGCGCACGAAAACTCCCTTCTGAGGAAGCCTATATATAAATATCTCTATATTACTCCATTTCCTCCGTTTCGCGTTCGGAGCTTTCGAAAGCGCGAGAGCTTTCCACAGTAAACGGTAGCTACGTACATATATTTGAAACCAACGATCGAGTCAAGTGTTTCTCAGAAATGCCTCTTGGTTGCACTCGCGTTACGCTTCTGTAGGCTGAGTACTATAGCCTTTAAGAAGAAACTTGCAGACCGTGTAACTTCGGATAATGAGTGCGCTTGTATCATAAGTTTCAAATCTGATTTATGAGAGTTAAGCAGAGGAATATATTAAAACTCAAGCATCCTAATACATTTTTAAGTAGATTCGAGCTCAATTTATTCTCAATCGAAACGCCACAAACAGCGTTAACAAATTTACGACGAATCATGATCAAATGTTCGTAGTAGCTCGTTTAGACCGCCGAATTTTCGCGGGCCACATTTGCGAGCGCCGCGGAAACGTATCGGCCTACTGGCCGACTGTTTGCTGTCTGTATAAATCGCGAAGGAAGGACATCGAAGTAACCGAACGAGCGTATGGTCGGCCGGTTGATAGAGAGAAAGAGAGGGACGCTTGAGCGACGGGAGCGAGAGACGAGGACGGAGGCGACGATGGAGAGCGAGCGGGAGAATTACGTTTCGTGATGGAGAGAAAGAACTCACTCCCGGGCGGCTCTCGTGGGCACACGCCTCTCTCGTTCTCCTCGACTCTCCACGACGAGAGACCTGTCTCTGTCTCGGAGCACCAGCGTTGCTTCAGTCGACACTCGGGAGACCCGTGATGCTCCTCGTGATCGAGTCCTGTCCTCGTGACCGCCGTCTTGAACCATGAGAGGAACTCGCGGAGGAAGTCGCGTCTCGATTCGCGCGGATGCGAACCGCTCGCTGGAACGCTCCGAAGCAAGACTTGAGAGAAACGTATCAAGGAATTAATAGGACGCACGATGACGTTTGTGTCTTCATGAAATAGCATACAACATTTTAATCGAGTTTGATGATCAATGGTGTGTTGCTCGATAATTGCTTTCGAAGGTTTGCCATCTGATCAAAAAATTACGAGTGCAAAAAAAGTGATTGGTGTTCTTTGTTGATTGCCGCGTAACGTCGGAAAAAAATATTCAACAAAAAAATAACAAAGATTCGCAGATGACAAGCGAATACTGCTTAAGGCGTATGTTATATGCGTATGTTATATTATAAGAAAATCGTATTTAAAGCAATATTTGATACAATTATAATATAATATCACAGTTACCATATCAAAGAAATAATCGATTATCGTGCTAACTTTCGGCTTTCGACGGTCGAATGTAGAATTCCACATGTGAGAATTTTCAAGCAAACTTAGGAAGACCGGGAGAGAGAAGTCGCTGTGATTAGTGATAATTGCATTGGGAAAGTGACAACGTGAAATCTACTTCCCCGAAGAAACAAGCAGTGTTGAAGATGCCGCGCAGCAGAGACGAAATCGACAATATGTCGCTTGGAGCGCATCATCTTCTTCACAGATCCTGCAGGGGCAAAGCCCACGCGAGCGGGATTGCTAAGCAAAATAACTGTCGAAATGTGTCCCCGAAGAAATCTTCGAAGTCACCGGCGCAGGATTTCGCGAAGCAGCACGACTCCTGCGTCTCGAGTAATGGCGTTGTTCCCGGCCGACTCGACAGGAAGCACAGCAGAAATAGCACGAGCTCGTGGGAATGCAGCGATAGCGACAGCATGCACTCGTCCGAAATCGGGCAGAACGGTTGCCTGGAAAATCGTTCGGTCAACTCGAATCGCAGTCTCGATCGGCCGTCGAGCGCCAAATCCGATGCCAAAGAGAGGATCAAAGGATCTCATGGTAGCAATTATTGCTCGCCGTTGCAACGGGCGTCCAAAAGTCTCAGAAAGGAAAGCTGGGCGGATACCCTGCGCGTAGGATGCGTGGACGACAGGATCAGGAGGATGGAGGAGGGCTGGGACGACAGTAACGTCATCAGGACGCCGAAGGAGCGCAAGTGGCATAGAATAACGGCGGAAGCCGAGCAGAGGACACCGAACGTGGACAATGGCTATCGAATGTTCGGTTTCAAGAGCAACTGGGCGAATAACTCGAAAAAGATATCGAAGAGGAGTCGGCCGGGTCACCAAAGATGTGCAAAGCCGATTCAGGACATTATCGAGTGGGAGGAACTGTTCGAGCTGGCGCTGGCCAGAAAGATAAGGCGGAAAATACGAGGAAAGGGAAAAATGGATAAATCGAACGTAATGGAGAAAGGCAGAGAAAGTGGTCGCGCCAAAGATGAAGGAGAATGCATGAAGCGCCTCGAGGTGCTCCTGGAAAATAGAGTGTCGCCGCAAATCGACGAGGTATGTGTTTTGCGAAGGATTCAAAGGAAACCGGAAATTTCTCCAGAACTGCCGAAGTTATCAGTCTGGAAAATAGCTGTCGTCGAAAATATAAAATAAAATAAAAGAAATATCGATGATTTTCATGAAATATACACAGTTTCGAAACAGCGCAAGATGCAAAACGTTTCTTCTAGCGATTTATCAATCGCGATAAAATATAGATGTGCGATTACAGCTTTGCCTTTAGCGTAATATGCACCTCTTTGGGAAATTTCTGGCAAATTGTCGTCGCGTGAGAGCGCGTGAAACGCGTTTAAAGGGCAAACTTGTAATATCCGAACAATCCCCTCGTTTAGGCCTTTTGAAGGAGCGGCGTTTGCCGCGTATCCGCGAAACAATGGCGCGTTGTGCGCTACCAATGAGCCCCGGGACCTGATACGCGGTAATTTATGTACCAGGAAACTCAACTATCTGTCGTCCTTACCTGGTGGAACCGCACGAGTCACCGCCGCGCAGTTGCTCGATGCGGAAATCGATACGCGGGAACACGCAGCTGCACCGATACGGTGATTCACGGATTTAGAGAGAATAAAGTCGCGGAACGCGGTTAACTCTCGTTCGTGCAAATCTAATGACACGCTAATAAACCGCGTAAACGGTTATACGATTCCGATCGATATCGCATAATTGTAAATAAGCGCACTGATAATCCTCGGCTAAAACTCGCTATTACGGTTCTCCGCGTTTTATTTCGACGTAAGACTTCACTCGATACTAAATTGATTGGCGCCCATTTCCTATGCCTCCGAGATAATAATTATTCCATCCCAAAGAGGGATAGAAGGATACGGACGGGGGAAGATAGAAATAGAAAGGATCGAGCGAATGCCATTTGGATGTTAATGAGTGGTCGCTTAATGGTACGCAGATCCGCTCGTCTGTAGTCGTGGCGCGCCGCACGGCCACGCAATAAGACGTTTCATAACGATCCACCGCGACTAACCGCCGCCGGTAGCGACATACTCGAGGACGTTGCCGATTCGACTTCATTCGCGTAGGTGTGCGCTATCCTCGCACTCGCCCCTGGGGAAAATGTCTTTGACTAAGCTCGGGATTACATGGTCGTTCGCTTCGCGCCGCGGGAAAAAACAAAGAACGACGAGCTCGCGTGACTGTTAGCGATGATGCTGAGAGACCGCTGCGGACAATTCAATTACTGTAGCTCGCTGAATCTTTCTTGAAAGAGACAATCGAGACATCACGATTTATTGCTTCAAATCACATCTTAGGAGCTTATTTGATTAAATCGATATGTCTTAGAAAATTCGATTCAAACCTTTAAAACTGAATTTGAAAATTTTGGTGGCGAAATAAACTGTTCATTTTTGTTTAGACAAAGTCAACTCAATGGAAAATAAATCGTTATATATATCGTGTGCTAATTACACTCTTATTTTTGATACTACACAGGCGCGATCAGAAGAGCATTTGGCGCAAGAACAAGCATGGCTAACTTCCGAGAAGATCTGGTTATTGCACCGCGGTGGCTTCACTCCCGCCACAAGATGCGGTTCCGCCGATCCCGACACAGGAAAGCTGAGGATCCGATTGACCACTTCTGGAGAGGAATTGCTCGTCGACGAGGAAGACGTGGAGAAGGTAAAATAATTGCGCGATCAATCAAAGTGAGCGATTCAATCGTCGTGTCTCATTCATCGTTATTTGCATCTCTTTAGGCCAATCCACCGCAATTCGATAAAGCCGAAGAGCTCTCTCAGCTACGATTCCTCAATGAATCGTCCGTTCTTCATACATTGAGGCAACGCTACGCCAGTAACTTGATACACACGTATGCAGGAGACAGCATGATCGTTATCAATCCAGTTGCACCATTGGCAATTTATTCTGAAAAGGCAAGGCCACTTTCTCTCGTTGTACTGTGTTTTTTCTCTCTCTCTCTCTCTCTCTCTC